AGCACATGGAAGATTATTATCTACATTCTATTTGAATTCCAATTTATTAAATATTGTAAGTTTTATATTTTTTAATTCAGGAAAATACATTGTAATGATTTCATGAAATAATTAGTTTTCAAGAAGTTTTTTGTTATAATATAAGGCTATGTGTTATAATAAAAATATCAATTAAACAATTGAACCCACTTAAGCAAGAAATTAACCTAATTTTGGCATTGTAACTAATTCTTTAACTTAAATACTATCTAATCTAAATAAATAACTTCCATAATTTGTAAAGTTATATGGTTATTTTGACATTAATGATACAATATTGGAAGAAAAAAAAGAATCAACTTACTAATTAATTAATTCATAATTGTTTAAGAATTAGTAGTTTTGATAATTATTAAATAAAAGACCATCATCAATGACTGTCTCTTACTATTTTAACATAACCTATGAATATTATGGTTTAAACACATCAAAAGCCTAGTAATATTGCTTATTGAATTCTTCTAATTCTCTTGTTGCATGATTAAGTTGATTTAATTTAATACTTATAAACAAGAATCCATGGAATTTTTATAAATAATCATCAATCGTTTTCTAATCAGCACAATAACCATTATTTTATAAAGTAGCATTAGAGCAACTTTCAAGTACAATAAAAAATTATTTCATAAGTTAATGATCCTTCGATGGATTAATTTCGTGATTTAATACTAAAGTAACATTCTCAAAAGATATTGTATAAGGTTTCTCTTAGCTACTAAATAGAGGGATAGGCTTATCTATAATTGAAGTATCAATAAATGTATATAAATGAGGAGTGATAATATTATTTTCTTTTCTGAATGGATCAACATCTCCAGAGAAATCTATTAACATCAAATCAATCATTGCTGATTAAATTTGAAATTAAGCGTATCCTATTGTCTCTTATTTAAAATTTATATTAGGAGGAATTAAATTGCTAACCCATAGTATAAAAACATATAAAAAATATGAAATACTGAGGGTTCCTGCAATCAAAGTAAGCAGCCCTCCAACTTTACTTTAAAAAATGGAACTCTTTTCATTGGTAAGAAGCTTAATGGGAACTCCAAAAATGTCTATATTGTCAATAGTATTCAAAATTTTATTCATATTATTAATTTTTATTTAGCCATTTGGGTCAAATAAATATCACTCATTCATAAAGAACCCAAATTCGTATTGATCCAGAAACACAGTATTCATTATTCTAATTTAATAGAGTCTCTTATTTATCGATGAAGAATTAGCTATTGCTTGAAATCCTATTAAATATTCAATATCTAAAGATTGCCACTTCTTCATACTTTTCTTTTATGAATCACTTTGCGATATCTTCTTTAGAATTATTTTTTAACATCCAATCAGATTCATTTATTTCTTACATGTTTCATTATTTTCTTTTCTCATTTATCCTTAATTTCCTCAATTATTTTTAATTAAATTATTATTTAAATAATGATTTTTCTAAGTTGAAGAATCCAGTTTAATTAATGAAGGACGATAAACTAAAAAAGATTAGAGCATAAATCGATATTTTGGACTATATTTTCTATTAAATATTCTTGGTATCTTAAAGCATAAATAAATACTTATTTATTCTAAATGTTACTACATAAAATATTGAATATAAGGAAGCTATGTATTATAAAAAAAATTAAATATTTTACCAATTATTTTTTTCGTCGTCGCACATACTATGATGATGTTAATGACTCTAGAATATGTTGCTTCTCTCTCTAATGGGATAGAAGTCTTTAAACAAGGCATTTTTTAGAATTTTTAGTATTTTTAGCAATAATTAAATAGATTATTAATATTTAAGATCTTTAAATGCATATATTAAATTGATCCATGACTATTTAAATTAGAAACATCTAGAATTGATAAGAACTTTAATGCATCTTTAAATTAAATAATATGAATAGGAGTTGATATTCAAAAACTAAGAGAAAAATTTATGAAGCCATATAAATTCTAAATTAATGAATTATCCTATTTCACCCAAAATAATGAATAACTAATCATTTTCATTTGAATTCACTTCAAAATATAAATATAGATAAAGAGATGAAGGTCTTGTCATTTCAATAGATCCTACAAATACTCTCTTAATTATTAGTTCCAAAAAATATATTAGAATAAACTAATTTAAACATGGATATTTGAAATAACTTTAATAAATCTATAAGCATCTCAATACAGTTTGCATACTTAATTTTTCTTTAAAAAATCTAAATTTATTTCTGGATCAAAGAATGCTTAAATTTTTATATGGTCTTCAAATTTAATTTCTAATCCTAAAGACTTAACTAAATTGATTGGAAACTCTTAATATTTATAATGTCTAATTAAACCATCTAAGTCAGATGAATTAATTATATATGCCACAAATCATAAAAATAATGGAATCAGATTTCATTCTTACTCAACCTTATCCACATGGTCTTTTATATAGTGTCTCGATTTGCATTCTTCAATGGTTCTTGGATTGTCGATTAATGAAGAGGCAAATAAAATAATTTCATGGGGAAAAGATTGTTTAATTTTGATTATGGAATGTTCTGATCAATCATTATGGCATGTAAAATACAAGATATCAACTTAATCATGGGATCTTAGAATTTGTTTTATAAATAGTTCATTATTTGCTTTTTTACCGAATGAAAACGATCCTTTTAAAACAGCTTTAAAAAATATCCATTTCTATATATTTTCAGAGCTCCAAATTGAAGGATGAGATCAAAAATCTTTCGAACTTTTCCCTTCACAGTCTATACCTTCCAAATAGATCCTCTTATTAAAAAATGGATATACTTTAAACTTTATTAAATTTATATTTTCTGAATCATAATGGTGGGATTATTAATTGGTTTCAGCAATTGATTTTGGTATTAATAGAGGGGTCATATTTGTTTGGGACTATGGCTGAAGATGGCAAATATTTAATAACATAGGATAACTCAAATTCAATTTAAATAAGAATTGAAGAGAATCTTTGAAATGAAATTGTGAATTTATATATAAGAATTCATTAAAAATTAAATTTAAATGATGGCAATTATAATGAAGTAAGTGAAAAAAAAGAGGCAAGTGGATTGAAATCAGTGAATCCTTAATAGCCTACAAAATAGAATAGTCTATTTTTTTTTAGGGACAGCTAGATAAGAAGTTTTGAAGATGGATCNATCTTTAAATGCATATATTAAATTGATCCATGACTATTTAAATTAGAAACATCTAGAATTGATAAGAACTTTAATGCATCTTTAAATTAAATAATATGAATAGGAGTTGATATTCAAAAACTAAGAGAAAAATTTATGAAGCCATATAAATTCTAAATTAATGAATTATCCTATTTCACCCAAAATAATGAATAACTAATCATTTTCATTTGAATTCACTCCAAAATATAAATATAGATAAAAGAGATGAAGGTCTTGTCATTTCAATAGATCCTACAAATACTCTCTTAATTATTAGTTCCAAAAAATATATTAGAATAAACTAATTTAAACATGGATATTTGAAATAACTTTAATAAATCTATAAGCATCTCAATACAGTTTGCATACTTAATTTTTCTTTAAAAAATCTAAATTTATTTCTGGATCAAAGAATGCTTAAATTTTTATATGGTCTTCAAATTTAATTTCTAATCCTAAAGACTTAACTAAATTGATTGGAAACTCTTAATATTTATAATGTCTAATTAAACCATCTAAGTCAGATGAATTAATTATATATGCCACAAATCATAAAAATAATGGAATCAGATTTCATTCTTACTCAACCTTATCCACATGGTCTTTTATATAGTGTCTCGATTTGCATTCTTCAATGGTTCTTGGATTGTCGATTAATGAAGAGGCAAATAAAATAATTTCATGGGGAAAAGATTGTTTAATTTTGATTATGGAATGTTCTGATCAATCATTATGGCATGTAAAATACAAGATATCAACTTAATCATGGGATCTTAGAATTTGTTTTATAAATAGTTCATTATTTGCTTTTTTACCGAATGAAAACGATCCTTTTAAAACAGCTTTAAAAAATATCCATTTCTATATATTTTCAGAGCTCCAAATTGAAGGATGAGATCAAAAATCTTTCGAACTTTTCCCTTCACAGTCTATACCTTCCAAATAGATCCTCTTATTAAAAAATGGATATACTTTAAACTTTATTAAATTTATATTTTCTGAATCATACTGGAGGGATTATTAATTGGTTTCAGCAATTGATTTTGGTATTAATAGAGGGGTCATATTTGTTTGGGACTATGGCTGAAGATGGCAAATATTTAATAACATAGGATAACTCAAATTCAATTTAAATAAGAATTGAAGAGAATCTTTGAAATGAAATTGTGAATTTATATATAAGAATTCATTAAAAATTAAATTTAAATGATGGCAATTATAATGAAGTAAGTGAAAAAAAAGAGGCAAGTGGATTGAAATCAGTGAATCCTTAATAGCCTACAAAATAGAATAGTCTATTTTTTTTTAGGGACAGCTAGATAAGAAGTTTTGAAGATGGATCACTCTGTTAGATTATTTGGTGAACGTAATTTTAAAAATATGTAAAAAACTATTAATATTTTTGATATTTTATGATTATTATGTATTAAATACAATAATTAAAACATATAATCAAGATTTAAATTATAAAAAGCATTATTTTCATCTAAGTTCTTAATGAATAATTGGAATTATTAATTCAAAAGTGCTTACTTCAAATTTTTGGAATTTTTAAATAAAAATATATTTTCTTCCTTCATAAATACAAAACTTGAGCTAAAATCAAATTTACTAAATGAATTTGCAATTAAAGAACATCTTTGAAAATAAGTGAGTTGAGATTTTAGAGGAAGAAAAAGTATGCTGCAGAATTTAGACTTTATTTTATTCATGATATTGAATTAAAAAGAAATAGTCTGGCTCCTATACCCGAATAACTTTTTTACAGGCTATCCTTTTTTTGTTAAACATAATTAATTTAATAATTAATATGATTGGTGCAATAAATTGGAAGGTTTCTGCATTTTAAATTAATGATTATTTTAAGATACAAAATTTAGCGTAAAAACATAAGAAGATGAAACTATTATATATTTATAGAATAGTTACATTCTCTATTAGTAAATTTTTTTCAATTATTATTATTAGAGATAAAAATAATGCTCTCTAAAACACAAGAAATTTAAATAAGCTAACCATTTAAGATGACATGGATCATATGTTCACCAAAGAAAAGTTGGAAAATGGTATGCTTCATGGAAAGGTTAAATTTAGTAAGTTGGAAGGATTTTATAACAATGAAGGTTTAAAAACTGGTGAATGGATAGAATTTTTTTTAAAATTTTTGGGAGCAGATAAATAAAAAAATTATTTTAGCAAATCATAAGTGGCTTATTTTGGAGAATATTACAAAGTATAAAATAGGGACTATGGAGCATATACTAATTTGTTTAAAAATAAAAACAATTAAATTTTATGTAAGGAGTTAAAATTGATATGAATAAGCAGAGCAGGCTATTTTGATTAATTTAGAATTACATAAGGGTTTTGGTTTCATTTTGATAGAAACTTTAATGAGTAAATTAATTTTAATATATCAAAGTGGGAGACAACTTATTCATATAGGAAAACATTAGATTGGTTTCAAATAAGGAAAGTGAATAGAAAGCATTTATTCAATTATAATAAAATTATTAGCCTTTTTTATCAGTTTCTAATCAGAGATTATAAAATCCGCTAAAAAAATGAAAAATCCACTTTGTTTGATGTAAAGGATCAGAAAAAAATTTAAAAACAGGGCAAATATATATATATCTGTTTTTTATGAATTATCATAAAAAATTAAAGGCAAATTTTAAGGGTATAACTCTTAGTGAAATAAAGAATAGTTTTAAATTAGAATCATATATTCTATGAATTAGGATATAATTTGTTATCCTTCATGAAATTTATGTACTAAATAAAATTATTGAATAACATGTTACTTTGGAAAATAAATAAAAACAATTTTTCCTCCATATCCATTAGATTTTTTCTATATTAAAAATATTGGTTTTAGATAAAAAAGTGATTCGATTTAACGATTGTACTTTAATGAATTTAGCAATGCTTGTATGTGTATAAATTCAAATATTAAGTTTAGAAATTTTTACCAAATAGTTGTAGGGATTTTTTATTATGGACTAAAATCTAGGACCTAAATTTAGTTGATAATTCTAATTGTTGTGTACAATTATACTTATTCCAGTTAGATAATCTCTGTTTATGGAATATTTAAGCTAAGTTAATGAATTATGACATATATTTTAATAGAAAATCGAATGGTATATTGATTAAAAGTTAAAATTTACGATAGTCATTTTCAATGGGTTTAAAGTAGAAAGTGGAATTGAATTCAAATTTCTTGGATCGTGTTTTTATATTGATAATATTTGAACGAATATCAAAAATGTTAATCTAAGTGTGGTGATGGTGTTCTTACATAAGAGGAATAAGGCAAATTAAATAAAAAATACTACTTTAATTACAGATATGTTCATCCTTAATATTGCTTATAATCTTTAAAAATTGTATGAATTAGTTGTGTAAATGGCTATTATTTTGATATAATTTATGTTTATAAAATAGTTTTTAAGGAATTTACTAAAGTTGTGTATAATGCGTTGATAAATATTATATTTTAGAAATTCACACTAATAAATGCTAAGAGCTAAAATAAAATATAAATTCTGAACTAGAAGAGGAATTTAATGATGATGGTTTATTTATTATAGAGTATAATCAGAATTAAGCATTTATCATGAATAAATTTGTTATCTTATTCAAAAATGGAAGGCTAAATCGTAATTTTAAATAGTGTGATGATGGAAATAATTATGGAGGAGACGGTTGTTTTGTTAATTCTATTGAAGAAGATTTCTTTATTGTATTAATTAAGAAAACTCTTTAAGCCTTTGCACTTTTATTCAAGCACCAAATATAATAGTTCTACTCTCTGATAAAAATAATCAAAATAAAATAGTTGTACTTAGCTTTTTTTTTCTTTAGAAGTCTATATATAAGGCTAAAATCTTTTTTTAAATTTTGTAGGAAAAATGAGCATTCAAAAAATTGAATTTGAATTAACATTTAACTATCGTTCTATTAATTAACATAACTCCTTAATTAAGTAATCTTCATTTTCAAATTTATATTTAACTTTGAACCCTTAAGAAGAGCCAATATTATAAATTAAAATACAGAAATTCTATTTTATAATTAGTTTAATAATGAGTTAAGTACTGATTCTAATAAATACTTTTGAAAAAATAAAATTTAATAATGAAATTGAATTTGAAAAGTTATAAATATTTTAGAATCCAAATTTAACTTAAAAGAATTAGATTAATTTATTCTTAATAACAATAATTACCTTTAATGATCAACTTTTAGTGCATCAATAGTGCTATACTTGATCTAACTTTATTTTGAGAAAAATCAAAAATGCTTGTTTATGTAATTAAAATAAATGATCCTAAGGCAGAAACAACTTATATGTCCAGCTACATTGAAACCGATAATAGTTCCTATTATTAATCTTACTATTGTTTTAACGAAAAAGGAATCCTTCTGTTTTTACATCATTCTAGCAAAGAAAATTTAGCCTATTTAGTCAAGAAGAGTATTGATAGTACAACTCTGAACCTAGAATGGCTGATTAATTTGAGCATAATTATTAAAATAAATATCTATTTCTAATATATATATATTTACATTGTTAAATTATCTCATTTATTCATTAATTAGGATTCAAATCCCCTAAGCACGCAAAAAATCACTCAAATTGATGATAGTGAAAATAATTTAAATCGAGTTTATTTTATTACATCAAGTTTTTTTTTGGTATATTTTCATTAAATTTATTTTTTGACTGTAAAAATTCTATTATTATTAAATATAATTTATAACCAGTGTATATAAGTCTTACTGTTGAAATACTATAAAATTTGGAATAATAGTATTGGTTAATTTTTTTCTTTTCTTTTCTTTATCTCTAAAAGCATATTTATACTATAATAGAGAGTATATAATTTTTAATTATGCTTGAGTTATTATTTTTGAGATATGGATCAAAATAAACTCTAAGAATGCAAAAACTATTTATCCATTACAAAATAATAATAAACACAATACTAGATCTTCTGCTGAAAAGCTTTTTTTAAAGTATTTCGGTTTATTTCTCTTAATTTTCCAAAATATTTTAACACTGTTTACAATACTATAGTTTTTATTAATGGTTCAAGGCAAAACTACAATATCAAAAAATCTTATTTCTGATATTACAATTCTCTAAATTAGGATTATTTAAATGTTAGAAATATTATTTTAAATAAAAATCATGGGTTTATTGAAACTATACTAATGATTATTTTCGATACAAAACCAAGAGTAATAATTGACAAAATTAATATAAGACAACAACTAAGATAAGATGATACATTTTTTGAATATAATTTAGGTAATTTTGAACAAGAGGCTGTATTTACAACCCATGCAAAAGCAAGAAATGAGGTAAAAAAAGTCAGTGAGCAGTGAGCGAGAAGAGGTTGAGGGAAAAGTATTCCTTTGTAAAATAAAATTATTGCAGAAAATGATTGTTTGATAAAACAGGTAGTAAATAATTACAAAATTATCAGAGCAGAAGAGTCATTAATATAGTAAGTAATAACTGTTAATCCACAATTAAGAGGCTTAGGAGTAGTAGATGATGAGCAATAATATATGAAATTACATTTAGACCTTAAAAGATTGGTTTTTTTGAATACATTTACAATATTTATTATTAAGATCATTTTTTATTATCATCTATTAATGCAAATTGGGTTAAGTAGACAAAAATACAACGTGATAACATTCTTGTTATTGATAAATCATATACAAAATTAAACCAACTGAAAGATGAATAACTAAAGTATTAAAGGTTAAACAAAAATAATCAAGCCGACTTAAATTATAAATAAATAAGCATTACATTTCGATATCGATATATAATTGAAATTTATTTTTAAAGGTCAATAAAAAACACAATACTCCACATAGAAATGTCATCAAAAAAGGTAAAAATAATTTGTTTGTTAAACTAATAATATGAGTAGAAAATTTATTACAGGCCCTTAATAAAATTATGAGGTTCATCAACAACTTGGTGTACTCATTGATTTCTTTGATTCTATGAAGGCTGATTTTTATTTCATCAAAAGATATTTGATTCTTTGTTATGTTTCTTTAAAAAAAAATCTACATATTATTATAAATATTCATATCAACTACTAGAAATTTAACATAACTAATTAATCCATGTAAAAATTTTAAAAAGAAATCATAAATTTAGGTTATTTTAAAAATTAATACCAAAAATAAACATTTGTAATGGAATAAGCCATAATTTTTCTTCTTATATTCTTTATATTAATTATCAAATTCATTTAGAAATTGTGATTGTTTCATTTTAACTACTGAAGTATAATTAATTTAATATTTTTTAATCCTTCTTAAAATGAATTCTTTTTGGATTTTTAATTGTTAATTAAAACAAATAGTATTTTTTCGTTTTTAAAATAAAATAAAGTTAAGCTTATTTAACCAGAAAAGAATTTTAGATTTTTATTTATATATATTTTTTTAATGATTGTTTCCATAATTTTTATCCTTGTTACCTTAATTGAAATTTCGAATTCATAATGGTTATTAAAATATTCTAGCTTATATGAAGATTAATAATTCATGAATTACAATGGATCATCCTCTTCAATATATTCCAATTACTTATTATTGCCATCCAAGTATATAACAGCAAATTTTATAACTTGCACCAAACCTCCAACAAGCTATTTTACTCTCAATAGTACCTATCCATCAGCTCGCACTGATGATTCTATTGAATTTAAAAATGGTGATTTTTTTTCAGTGGATTTATATTTTCATGGTACATGGACAAATCAAACTGTTAATATTACAATAAGCTCATTTTCATACCTATATAATTATACCTCCCCTTCAAATTACCTTATTAAAACTGGATTTTGTGATGACATTGCTTATGAAGTTAGAACTGTTAATTTTAAGATTCAACTGCCAAATTCATAATCAGGTTATTACTACTTTACCTCGTCAAATACAAATGATGGTTAAGTTTCAATTAGAAATATATTTATTTCAACTCTTTAATGCTACCCATCATGTAAATAATGCACAGGGCCAAAATTCAATTAATGTACTAGTTGTTATAATGGATTAACAACAAACAATACTTGTCCACCCTGCCCAATTAATAAATATTATGAGAAATTTTATGGATGTAGAGATATTTGTAGTATTGGTGATTAATTATATTCTAATGGATTTTGTTAATATTATCCAAGTATTTAAATTGAAATATCATAGTTTCATATATTTTTGGTTCTAATACTTATAGCTATTATTATAATTGGGAAAGATTAAAATGGTTTAATATATATGATCCTTTACATGTAGATACATCCCCGAATTTCAAATGGTACTCTCATTATTCCAATTATCTCTATGGAGTCTATAAGTTTAATTCTGGAATCTCTAGATTTATTTAATCTTTATCTACTTATTCTAATTCTGTATACTTGTGTGGATTTAGTATTTAAGTTAAAACTTTTAATGATATTCCACTTAATTGTGGGATTTAGTTTTTGATTAATAATACTTATTTTGGTTCAATTTATAGAGATGAATCAGGAATTTAAACACATAAAATGAAAATCTATTCAACAAAAAATATGGATCCATATTTAAATTATACTTCAAATAAGCATTATTCTTTAATAACCTATATTGACCTTCCTAAATATCCTTTCATTTTTTCAGCAATAGGAAATTATTCGTAAAAATTCATATTAAATTAGCAATGATGAAGCTGGATGGGGATTTGAGAGTCTTACAATAACTTCGGGGTATTGCCCTGAATACTGTAAACTGTGTGAGGTATCATTTAAATGTAAGGTTTGTGTAAGTGGATACTATTAGTATAAGAATAATACATGCATCTCAAGCTGTTCAGAACCTTATTAAAAATTAAAAGGCTCTTATTGTTAAAATTTTGATGATGAAACTCCATGTATCAACTTATTTTATATTAAGACTCTTAATATTTAGCTTAAGACTTTAGATATTAGGCACATGATCCTGAATAAAATCAAGAATATAAACTTATCTCCTAAAATGGCACAAATTTTTTAAAAGGATTAGATAT